GTTGACTTGGCTGGTGCCCAAGGTCAGCTTCCAGTCATTTGACCTTGATCACTTCTCAAAAGTCTATAAGTCTCAGAGAAAGACATATTAGCCTTGTCCATGTACTGATTAGCTTCTCAGCCTTGTTTTCCTATTTAGCAAGCAAGATAAGAAAGTCGAGGGGTGGGAAGAAAGAGTGGAGAGAAAAATAACCATCCTTTTTGAAATCCCCACCACACCGCCACCCCATAGCCCAGGCAGTTTTGGGTCCCAACATGGCTTCAGTCCTGCTCACTCCAACAGACAGGCCGGTAGTTCTCTCCTGGGGACTGGAGAAAACGGTTAGGGTCAGAAGAAGATGCTCAGGAGACACCTCCTCAGTCCCTGTCCCCTCTCAGTCTGCATACTTCCCCTGCGGTCTGGAAAGATTCCTCCCCAGTCACGTGCCAGTAATTTTCCTTCCCAATAGAAAGATGGATTTTCTGGGTTACTTCTTCTGAATCACACTTTATGATTAGATATGTTTAAGCATTCATGATATAAACCAAATTAAACTGTATCTGAAATTCCAGCATTTTTATTGCGACTTTTAAAAAGCTCAGTATTTTAAAATGAAAAATATCATCACTTTTCTTAGCATCTGCTAAATGTTTAAGTGACAAAACTATTTCATTCTTTTAATTTTTTTTTCTTCTTATTTTAGGTGGTACCTCGAGAAGTTTGAAGATTATCCAAAGTTCAGAAAAATTTTAATTCCATTTTTGTTTTAAGTGCATCGTCCATGAAATTATTTCAGCTTGGAGCTTTTCAATGGTGTTTCTTAGGGACTATGTAAATGAATTATCTCTGTGTGATTTTCCTGCTACTTTACTGTTTTCAAGATATTCTCTAGAAATATCCTGTAAGCTACCTAATAAGAAACTAACCAAACCGAAATGCAGGTTGAAGTACCAATTCTACACACCTGGCCAGGAATTTCCAACTCTAATTACTGCTGACGATCTTTCTAATTTTGAATTTACTGCTTTTGGCTATATATATAGCTAAGTGTATAGGAGACCAGAATTTACAGTCTCTTTTATGCCCTCTATGGAACAACAAATTTCACTGTTTCTTTTACAGCCCCCCAACAATGATTCATTCAAGGTCAAGGGCAGGTGGCCCCTCCGTCCATAGAGATGTAATCTGTCTTGGAGCTCTCCCTTGTTGCACTAAGCCAGAGGGGCCTGGGGTATTCTTGTAGTCACGGCCTGAGGGCAGCTTGCCACTCTCCTATCAGGTGCTGTGTGTAGAACTTGGGGGCACAGAAGAGAGCTCTGTGAGGCCCACCAGGCTGGGCAAAGGCATCTGACACTTGTTCTAGCCTAGCTCCCTGGTGACAGCCTATCTCCCTGAGCAGGGCAGGTGCTGGTGGCAGTTTATAAGGCACAAGCTGTTCTGTCCCCATGCAAGGGACTCTCTTGAACCCTCAGGTGGGAGCGTGTCGCTCTTCAGTGTTCTCGGGTCTAATGTGGCTTTTTCTCCCCCCTTTAGTCTATGTGGAACTAGAATTTTCTAAGGCACTTTCTTTTTTAAGGTACCTCTCATATTGCAAAACAATATCTTGAAACAGAATTTCTTACCCTTTTTTGTTTTTTTGGCGGCTGGCCCATACAGCGATCAAACCCTTATCAGCACCATGCTCCAACCAAATGAGCTAACCGGCCAGACTCAGACTTTCTTACTTCAGATGCACACTAAAAGTCCATGGAGATAAGTGGCAGTAATAAAATTTACCACTTAAGGAAATAAAGATACTGCAGAGAAATGTCCATCCAGAAGGATGCCGAATCGTGTCGCCGTTCAGAGAAAATCTCACGAGCCGCCATAAGGGCCCTTCCTGCCTGCAACAGTGCTGCCACCTGCTCCGCATTTGCTCCTGCGTGTGCCCGAGCAGGGCAGAACCAAAGAGGAGTGGAGAGGGAGAGACACTGTGTTTCCTTTATGACCCGCTAATGGTGCTGGGGAGGCCTCCAGAGCACACCCACAGTCACGCCGGGCCCTTCCCTGCCACCTGCCCTCCCAGGCCGGCCTCCCAAATCAGGCATCAGGGCTTCTCCCCTCCTCAGCTTCCGTGTGTAAACTCTAGCCTCTGTCCTAGTGGGCTTTAGAGTCCCTTAGATGTTAGAATAAACACAGAAAGCTTTGCCTGCTATGGCTGTTTTACTTTAACAAAAACAATGGTTTTACTGAGGAATTTTATTATTAAATGAACTTTGGCCCTTTCTCTGACCAGATAATTACTTCAAACCTTAAGGCAGTAAATATTTTGGATCCCCTCAGGAAAACTCAGAAGCTTGAGGTAGTCTTGACTGACTTGGGCCCTGCGTTCTGGAAGGCCTACCTGGCCACACGTGTGCTCGTCTGAGACCCAGAGAGGCCCGCTGCGATTCAGCCTCAGCTGGTGCGTCCTTGGTGCCTGGGCGAGCCACGCATGCACAAGCTCGGGCTGCCTCGAGGCTGGATGCCCTGCTGCCACGGCCACACTCCGGACGAGTGATCACCATAGGAAGAACCGTTCTGTCTCACATTTCACTGCCCTGCATTGCTTAAGAACCGTAACCTCTTAAATTGCGTTCATTGGGACTATTAAGGAGGTTAATAAAAGTACAGTTAAAATTCCAGTCTTTTTTGTTGGTCTCCAGGGTAAGTCACAGTGACTCCACTCTGGAAGTTTGGACAGTCTCATGATCTTCAGCCCTGAAATCTGTGGCTCACCCGCATCTCAGGGTCGGTATTCTTTCACCATTCTCAGTAGAGCTGGGTAGCATTCTTTGTATAAATCTTGTGCATCATCATTGAAGATTATTTTTATATATTGGGTAATTTGTTTCTTGTGAGTGAGAATTTGACCCGAAATACATTTAACTAGGATAGCCCAAAGTTACTGATGTTTGTGTTTTTGTTTTACCTAGCTATGCTACTAAAATGATTTTAGGAATTCCAACTTTTTTCTTTTGTTATTCTTAGGATTTCTAGCTTTGCAGTCATAATAATTTGCAAATATCTTACATTCATGTTTTGCAACATTTGAAGCTGTTACTTTTGGTGTTTGCTTCTCACATCAACAAGAATTTTGAGAACAATATTGAATAATAGACATGATTGTCAAGATTCTTGTGTGATTTTAACAGGAGTGCCTTTTTTGGGATTACTATTTTGAGCATTCTTTTGTTTTCTTACACAGTTATTGGTCAGTTTTCTACTTTAGCCACTGGGATCTTTTCTTTGCCTTTTTATTTTTTAAATTCTTTCTTTCTTTTGAGATTTTTCAGTGTACTCTATACAGATCAGAAATGAGAGAGCTTAACAGCAAGTGTAGAGGAGATGGAAAATTACAAGAACATGTCCACTCTGACATTCTAATCTTGTGGGTTATATTCTTCATTAGATTTTCTCAAAGTTTATCTTTTTTGTTTTAGTATAAGCTAACTTTTAGTGTGGTAATTCCCTTCATATCATCTAACTTATAAATTTCTGCTTTTATCTTTCTTATTATCACTGTTCTAATTTTGGGTGTATATTTTTGTTCTGTTCATAACTGCTTGGGAGAAGTACTTCATTCATTTATTTTCCTAGCAAGCCCATTTTTAGGTTTTGAGCTGCAAATTGCTTCCAAGTAACACTGACCATTTTTCCCTAAGTTTAATAATATTCCCGTACTTATTATTCTAAGTAATCTCCAGTTGTACTTCTTAGGACTTCTTCCATTTGGGGGATTTTACTTAAAGGTTTGTTGTTCTTTTTCTCATGTGTGGATATAGTAGAGATTATTTTTTATAAAATTTCTCCTTTGCCAATTTTGAGATTGGTAGCCTAAAGAATAATCACCTTTTATAACAACAGCAAGACCACTTTTTAAAGTTTACCCTATTTGTTTTTTGTTAATTCAAGCATATTAATTATAGTGTTAAAAATCTGTGCAACCTCATTTTTTCCATGTCTAATTTTTCTTCTATATATAATATTTTTTGCTGCACGTTTTGTTGCTGTTGCTTTGCAAAACTTTTCACTTTATAGTCTGTACATGTTATCAATATGAAATAATTTTCCTGTTGAATGACGTGCTTTTTTGTTGTTGTTGTTGTTGATAAATTCTTCTGGTATTTTCTTGCCTATCTTCTTTTTTTTTTTTTTTTCTTTTTGGTGGCTGGTCAGTAAGGGACCAAACCCTAGACTTTGGTGTTATCAGCACCATGCTCTAACCAACTGAACTAACTGGCTATCTTCTCATTTGAAGTTTTAAAATGTCATTTGTTTTCATTGTCTTTCACAACATAAGAAGTGGACCTTGTCGTTTAATAAGTTAATTCAAATCTTTTACTATGCTACCCTGAAATATTATTGTTTTTAAAAAAATCATGTTTTCTGTTTTTATACATGTATTTATTTTTGCAACTTCTTTTGCTTATTATATATAGTGACTTGGAAAGAAGACTTTCTTTGGGGAAAAAAAAAAAACAGGAATGGCTTTGTTAGCAGCCTAAATGGACTAAGACAGGATGCTCTTGAGAGCTTCCAGTACTTAGAAGTACTCTTGAGAGCTTCTAGTTGATGAACTGAACATATGTTTTTACTTCTCCCCTCCCTGTCCTGACCCCTGTTAAAATCACTGTGAAGGAATTTGGGGTGGGAAGAGGATGGATGGCCCCGCAAAGAGAAAGTCATGATTGCAGATTAACCGCAGTGCAGGAGGGAATGTGGGGACTGACATGGCCAGGCAGGGGAGCTGCGAGCACGTGGCCCTGCCTCATGGTGGGTCCTAACCACCAGGGCTGACTGAGGGCGGAGCTGGACCAACTGAATGTCAGGACACAGAGCAGACTGCAGTGTCCCTTGCACTCCCACTGCCCACAAAGAGCACATAACAGCCCAGAAATGAGCTATATCCCATTCCCAGAGAAAAACAAGGTGGGCAGGGGGTGGGGGGGAGGGGTCTTTCCTAAAATAAACATTAACTGGGGAGAACCAGGGCAACCAGATGTTGGCATCCAGAAAAAAATAGTCTTCACATTTTGGTCTTTAGGGATCCTGCCCCATGCCGCAGAGAAGCCTGGGGTGGCACAGTCTCCCCACAATTACAGGCTCCCACTCAGCTTTTCTGGTCCTTTTTTAAAATATGAATTAAGACCAAGAATCACTGGATACTTAGAAAAGTCTGCATCATGAAAGAAGAATAAATGCTTCTGGAGAAAACGTCATTCCAGAAACCAAAACGAAATTTTAAAAAAAAAATTGTAACTCCAGGGAGATTCAGCATCAGCTATGACACATCCTAGTCTAGAATACTACTCAGCAATGTGAAGGAAGGAACCGTGATGTGTATATACAAATCACATATCTAATAAAGGTTTTGTATCCACAGTATACAAAAAACAATCAAAATTCGATAAATATTTTTAAATGCTTTTGTTAAATGGGCAAAAAATCTGAGCATACACTTCACCAAAGAAAACATACAAGTGGCAAAGAAGCACGTGCAAAGATGCTTAGCATCGACAGTCACTATGAGAACACCGGTCAAACCAAGTCAGATGCCACTTCACGTCACTTGGCCTTTCACAAAACTCTGTGACGTTAAATGCTGAAATCCATAAAAATTCATCCTTAAATGTAAAAATCCCCCAAATATGACTATTTTCTCAATAACATTCATAAGTCATAACTTCCCTCCATTAAGTATTGTTAAAGGGGGTTTAACCCCCCCCCAAAACTGCAGGTCTGCACACAATGGCAGTGCTCCAGGTAAAGTTCACACCCATTTGACCAGAGAAAAGCAAATGCTATTAACTAAGAATACAATCATTACTAATAGAAATCAACCTTATTTTTTTCATTTTTTTT